CCGCCAGCCTCGTCCTCACCAATGCCTTAATCTATTTCCTTCCCGCCATCCTCGACAAGCTCCTTCTTCACATGGACGACGTCTGGTTCCATTCTCACATCATCCTCAATGTCCAATTCCCCCAATTCTATCTCAATTGAGTCCCCACATTTTGTTATTCTTGAATTTGAATGGTTCAATTTGAACACCTAGGGCCTTCATTCTTTCTTATGATGCTAGGGATTCTGGGTATAATTCACTTTTCCTCTCTAAGTTAAGAGTTCCTAACTGTAGGTTTTTGTCTTCAATTTTTTTGGTAGTTTTACCTGAAAGTTCTTGATTGTTCTCTTGATGATGGGCATGACATATGATGAATTCTTAAAGTAGGCACGATATGCATATTCAAGCAAAAAATCTCGTGACAGCTTTCATGACATATAGTTCTGAACTTAGTTTTCTTTTCCTTTTTCCTTTAGTTATAGGCACATCACATGATGACTGTAGGTTTTGGCATCATTTTGTTTAGAACAGTGAAGTCGTACTTTTTGAGGATACCACTCGTGGGTGGATCCATATACTGACGTGGGGTGCAACTGCACTCCTGAGAAATTTAAAAGTACACTCTTAAGGCCCTCTTACGCTTCAATTTGCCCCTCAATTTTTTTTTAAGTATGCACCACAACAGCCAAATTCTTTGGCTTATAAACCGGCAATACATTCAAGTATTTATCCCCCCCCCCGGGCCCCTACAGCACCCAAAAAAAATGGAGAACTTGTTTCTGGGATCCCCGCCACTACCACTCACTAGTTAGCGGTAGTTCTCTGTAATCATGTCACTTTATCGGTGTTGTTATTACATCGTAATTAAATTAATGTATCTCCATGATAGCTGCCTTTTCAGATTTTTCATGTTGCATAAATAATAACTAGCTACTTGTTGCTGCTAGTGCTTTTTTTATCAGTTTGTAAAATAATATTGTATATAAATGAGTATCTTAAAGCTTGTAGTATTAAATTGAGCCAAGTTATAGATGTTTATTTTACAGGTTCTTGTGTTTTATCAGTTGCATCAAAGAAGACTACTTTACCTATTGATCTTCGACAATGGATGCCAGCGAATCTTTGTGGCAACTGGACATTGCGAAGCTTCTTTCAAACCTGAAGGTTCATCAGGAAACATCTGGTGATCACAATCTGGATTCAACATGAAGGTGCATTGGTGAGTGCTGCAGATGTTCAAACCCATAGCACTTGTAGATCTGAATGATAAAGGTCTAGAAACATTGTAGACTACTTTATATGACTAAAACAAGGATATTTCATAATACATTTGTGTCCCGCCTTGCTCATGGTGTTGGTAGCCAGGTTGCTTCTCTCGAGAGAAATACATGCTTGGGCTAAGGAAGTTCTGTGCCTTCAACGTTGATTGTGCTTGCACTTCCCAAGTGTATCCGCAAGATGTCAGAGATCTTTGTAAAACCTTGGTCCATCTTAGTCGTAAGTTTTTAGAAACCTAAGATAACAAAGTCTAAGTTAGTTTTTAGAATTGAGCCAAGTTATAGATGTTTATTTTACAGGTTTTTGTGTTTTATCAGTTGCATCAAAGAAGACTACTTTACCTATTGATCTTCGACAATGGATGCCAGCGAATCTTTGTGGCAACTGGACATTGCGAAGCTTCTTTCAAACCTGAAGGTTCATCAGGAAACATCTGGTGATCACAGTCTGGATTCAACATGAAGGTGCATTGGTGAGTGCTGCAGATGTTCAAACCCATAGCACTTGTAGATCTGAATGAGAAAGGTCTAGAAACATTGTAGACTACTTTATATGACTAAAACAAGGATATTTCATAATACATTTGTGTCCCGCCTTGCTCATGGTGTTGGTAGCCAGGTTGCTTCTCTTGAGAGAAATACATGCTTGGGCCAAGGAAGTTCTGTGCCTTCAACGTTGATTGTGCTTGCACTTCCCAAGTGTATCCGCAAGATGTCAGAGATCTTTGTAAAACCTTGGTCCATCTTAGTCGTAAGTTTTTAGAAACCTAAGATAACAAAGTCTAAGTTAGTTTTTAGAATTCCATGATAAGAAGTTAAGAACCTGATTTGTAGTAAATGAGCGCATGTGTATTGGGATGCGGCCTACGGGCATACAACAACATGCAACCTTCTACTGAGTAAGTATATAACCTTTGGGCCATGATGCGTCTTCTAATGTTATATAATATGATCTTTGAGCAAGAATGTAGCCTTGGGGCAGATGTTGTCCCATGGGTAAGGATGCAGCCAACAGGTGAGGATATGGCCTTTGGGCAAGACATGATCCTTAGGGAAACTAAGTGATTGATCATCATATAATAATATGATATATTTCCTTTTCATGTCATTGGATATTGAGATGTGACAACGAAGTGTTGTGTTAAAGGCTGTCGGAATATGAAGAGCTTTCATGATATGTAGTTTATAATTGATTTGACAATACATGTGGAGTATCATGGACTATTTTCTTGCCATCTTAAAGGGATACGAGAATAAATTGCTTTTCCAACTGGCATGCTTTTAAAAGTGCTTGGGTTTACATATTTGATGTATTACCTTTTATGCTTAATTTTTTATAAAATTACTAAGTATATTGTTCCATGACCTGCCTAGTCCACTAGTAAGAGTTGCATGTGTTGACATGAAGGTTACCCTCATACCTTGTGGTTTTCAACCCTTTCAATTACATACTAGCTTGCAATAGTTTTGGCTGAGATAGTTCATTGTGAAAGTGAAGCATGCAATGGAGATGCTACATCTGAGAGTGCCATTATTATGGCTGCAAGTATACTAATCAAGAAAGTGAGCGGTATGTACATGAACTGATGAACTAATGCAGTTAATCTCCGAGTTGCTCATTTTAGTCAGTAATATTGCTCTCAGGCTTCATGTCTAGTAAGTTGTGTCTTTGTGTGTCTGTGATCTTGCTGTGTGAATGAAGTGTCTAGGCTTGACATTTTGTATGTGCATCGTTGCTGTCATGCATCTGATTATATTCTTTTGTTGAGAATCTTGGGGCTTGTCTGTGAAGTGTTACAAAACTAAATGTGCAGGTTGCAATGTGGCTTCGTAAGTTTAGGTGTTTAGATAGAAATGAGCTGAAAGCCCACCAATTACCCAGTGCTGTTCATTGTTCCACCAATCATGAATTACCCCACCAATTACCTAGAACTTTTCACTGTGCCGCCAATCCTGGATACTCATACCACTCCATCTGAGCTTAAGAATTCCGGTACCGATGATGGAGATGAAGAGTGCCATAAACCAAATACTAGCTAGATTAGTCAGCTGCATATAGTGGTGCCTGAGGCCGTACAATTAGTAAGAAGAAGTGAACTAATTGTTTTTCTCGAGTTATGTAAGTAGATTATCCAGTAGTAGTGATTAGGTGGGCTGTTTGCAGATTAAAGGTCACATCATCCATATAGAAATTGTCGTTTATCTAGTATGTAGATAGTTTGTACCTGTATCCTGCAAATACCTTGGCAATGATAATGATCAGATCAAGTTAACATGTTGCCTTTTTAGTATTATTTTAATCTCATTTTCTTATGCTTAGTTTGGGCTGTCTTAATAGATTGATGAATAGTTCACCTGTGTCTGTCTTGATTTAATTGATCATATTCTTTTTTTTCTCTGTTTTGATTTAATTGATCATATCCTGTTGCTTCTTTTTGAGTAATTGAGTGTACCCATTGCACTCGCATGCTAAATTGTGATTGTGATTTTGCACTATACTTTGGAGATACTTGCAGAAACTTCAACCAAGTCCATTCTTTTCAATTAAAGGAATCAGGTATGTCATGAACACATTAGCAATCCCCATACTTAAGTGAGAGCTTTATTAAACCTTAATAAGTAACTCAATAATTAATTGAAGCATTATATTTATTATCAAAAGCTTAAACATATCTTACATATTTGGAATTTGGAGTTATAGTTAAAAATTACATCATACTGTTGATGTTGGTCTTGTAATAGCATGGTAAATGCTGTAACAGCGAAGTCATGTAAGGATGTGAACGGTATAATATTTCTTGATACAAGTTGCCATTGGCAGAATGGTATATGTTATCATTTAAAATCATTCAAGTGTTATGCCATCAGAGCACCAGTGGTCTAGTGGTAGAATAGTACCCTGCCACGGTACAGACCCGGGTTCGATTCCCGGCTGGTGCAAGTCATTTTTGTTTTTTGTTTTTGTTTTCTAAAGTTACAATGCAGCGTCTATCTTCAATTTTTTACCTTCTTCCCGCATTAATTTTTCAACAAAGTTTGTTGCAGTATCTTTGCTTTCTTAGTTGCAATGGACACCACTACATTTTGTCCACAATTGCTTTATTTGATTCTGCACTCAAATCTCAGGAAAACTTGTTGAAGCATCTTTGCTTTTTTAGTTACATTGCACTGCACCATTACATTTTTCTCCCAATTGATTTTATTAGATTCTGCAAACTTTATGTGGCTAAAAGTTGTGGCACTAGCCTCTTTTCTTGCTCAATCTCCTATTACTGACGTCTAATTATATGAACAGTCTCCTTGATGAGCCCTTGGGTATTGGTACCTTGAGACAACCTCTTCTTCCATAAGTGTGTATGTGATGAACGGACGCTGGAGACTGTCCAAATCTCTTCTCAAAGCTTTTCTTTGACATGTTATAGTAGATGACTTCTCCAGCTCCTTGTAACCCTACAGTCTCTCTTCATGTAGTCACTTCTTTCCCAAAAATACGTTCAGTCCTCTTTTCTCTATCTTCCTCCTCTCTCTTGGATTGCCTCAAGCCACCATAACAGTAGCACCACCAAGATGACCAGCAGCCACCTGTCTTCTTCAGGCACTTTCAGTTCTTAGGGGATCAATTGACATAGAGAGCCTGGAAGTTAAACTCCCACAGACAATAGCTTTTGGATCCCATCTCGACCTTTATGTTGATCTAAACACATAAATCACAACTTTCTTTAGTTTATAAGCATGCAGCATATAAACTAGAAGAATAAATAGCTAATTGTTGCTGCAGTTAGGAAAATTATGTTTTTCTACATAGAAGTCTCTTAAAGGTTGTCGTATTATAAATTTATTATTTTCTAAAGGTTTTAGTATTATCTTGACCTAAGTTATAGACAAGGTCAGTTAAATATATTCTTGTCTTTATTAGTTTGCATCAAAGTTGAACACATTACCTATCGATCACGTCGATCGGTGCCATAGAACCTTTGCGGAAACTGGACATACCAAGGCTTCTTTCAAACCTGATATTGTTATTGTTGATGTATAGATCACTGCAGATGCTTGAACCTGCTTCAACATGAAGGGTGCATTGGTGAACACTGCAGATGCTTGAACCTGCATTCATATATTCAAATGATAAAAGATCCGCAATCATGTGGACTACTAAGTACAACTTAAACTAAGTATATTTCTTAATGCATTTATGATCTGGCTTTCTTGTGTTGTAGGTAGCTCTGGAAATATGTATCCGCCAAGGCAGTTTGTTGCCTTCTACAAGAAGTACTCCCGCTGTCCCGCACTCCGTGAGTGTACCACGCTACCAGCTAGATGCTAGGGATATTTCTGAAGCCTTTATCCATCTTAGTAGTCAGTTTTTTTTCCCGGTATTAAAATGATTGCTTAATCCTTGTTTTTTCTTTTTTCTTTTTTCTTTTTTCTTTTTTCTTTTTTTCTTTTTTCTCTTTTTTCTAAGTCATCCTTGAACTTTCTTCGTGGACAATTTTTACCTAAAAGTTTTTGTTGGGTATGTGTTTAGTCTATTTGCAGTGCAGCATCACATCTTTCACTTCTTTACCTTATTCACATTATATTCTCAATAAAAATGTGTGAGCATCTTTGCTTTCATTATTATCCTTTTGTATGATTATATGTATAGCCTCCATGACGAGCCCTAGGGAGTTGGTGTGATGAGATAGACCTCTTTCTTTCGAAAGTTCCTGTATGTTGAACACTGGAGACTGTCCAAAACTCTTCTTAAAGCTTTCTGTGACATGCAAGATGACTACTTCAGCTACTCGTACAGTCGTACCCTCATGTCTCTATTGATGCAGTCATTAACCACCACACTCTTTTCTTCTTTTTCCAAAAAAAAACCTTTTCGGTCTTTTCCTCTAACTTCCTTCTTTACATTGGATTTCTAGCCACCATAATAGCAGCAGCACCAATAGAACCAGCACTCACATATCATCTTCGGGTGCTTTGTTAAGTTGGCCTATGTTATAGCACGTTTACTTAACAAGTTCTTGTTTTTTATTATCTTGTATCAGAGGAGATCACGCATTATGATTGGCATATTGATCATGGTGATCAATGCCAGCGAAGCTTTATGGCAATTCAACATAACAAAGCTTCATTCAGACCTTGGGATCCATCGGGAAACACATGATTTTCCTGATCGTATCACTGTTGTTTACGTAGTGATCACAGTTGAGATTCAATGCTCATGGATCCAAAGATTAAAGGTTG